CATGAACTTTTTCAAAAATCTGAAAGGCGCATATTTATGACCCCACAAAACTGCAATTCTTTCCCCATTTAACCGACTCTCTATCTCCAGTAGTTTCCGAGATACCCATAGAGAACATCGTAGGAAACTCACCCTGTATGCAACACAATGCAATCAGTAAATATACACAAACCTAGATGAATTTATATATATTTCATAATATTTAACGTTTCTTAAATACTTATTAAGTTTTCTAGTAATGATTCTTATACAATGTAGTCGAGGTATTGTTTACCATAAGAAAAAAATATAAAAATGTTTGTTTAGAAGCGATTGCTAAAGGTCAGAGTAATCTAAAGCTTGTTAAAAATTAACACATTTCTTATTATTACAAACAATCATGATAATTATTTAAATACTTTATATAATTGTGAAGAAACTCGTCCGGATGGTAATAAATAATAATCGTTTATAATATAAAAAATCTGTCTATTTTTAAAAGCATCCTTGAAAATGCAGTAATATCTTCTGCCAATAAAAGCATCAAGTTTATGATTAGGTATTTGTTAAGAATTTATTGTTATTTGTAGCATAAAATACCTTTTAATATTTATTTTATGTTGTATAGTCTGTGAAACGAATAACTTTGAATTTGACAGTTCCCGCGGGCTTTTCTAGTGTTAATATTATTAGGTTAGCAACTTGCGGCCATGCTGATGCAATGCCGTCTCTAATAGAACAGCCTCGAAGCGAGATTTATGACGTCACGCTAGTTAGATACTACGGATTAATAAATATGTTGTAGAATACATGGAAAATATAATTATTCCTCGTATTTTTGGTTACATTGATTATGGCTGAAATCGTACTCCATAGTCAATGTAGATAGTTTTAGTGTTAAGAATAATAATTTTAAAAAATATGTGGTCATCTTTTGACAAGTTTATATTAATTTATTAATTGCAGTAAACATTATGTGGTGTTAGGTTAGGTTGTGAATATTTTATATGTAATTTTTTGGATTATATTCGACACTATTTTTTTCAAATGACACAACACTGATGAAGGCTATAATGTTAGCCGAAACGTATTTTTTAAACCAAAAAAAATAATGAAAACCCAAATGAAAACTTAATTAGCGTTTTTCCCTAACATAAATCTCAAAAAAATCAAAAATTTTAGAATAATTTTACATATAAAATGACAGCGATCTTTATTTCATAGCCATCGGTGACTTTTTTATGACGGTGCCTTTTTTATGATATTGTATTATTTGCAAATATAATTTTTCGAACATTAATACTTGCAAAATATACATATAAATTTTGTGAATGCAAATAATAATACATCACTATTGATATTGAATGTTTTTTGTTAAATTAGATCGTATATATATTGTATTTATTATCTATATATTATGTATATTTCATGTAAACTATATCATTTTTAAAATATAAACCAAAAATACGAGGAATAATTATGTTTTCCATGTATTCTACAACATATTTATTAATCTGTAGTATCTAACTAGCGTGACGTCATAAATCTCGCTCCGAGGCTGTTCTATTAGAGAAGGCATTGGTCTGATATTTAGAAATGTCGAAAGCTGATGACATTTTACTTTTGATAATTATTACATTTTCTGTTGATTTTTGCAAGAAAAGGAAGAACTGTCACTTGTTTTATTATTTTCCTTTTCTATTTCACAAAAGTAAAAAGAGTTACCTATCTGATTCGTTCAGGCACTCAATTTAAAGAATATCAGTAACTTTTTTGATAGAGGGATTTTATATTTGCAATGTTGGTAAAAAATAACGGTCAAAATTCAAAGTTATTCATTTTATAGACTATAATATATTTATTTTTAGTCATCTGTTATATATAAATTTGTGAGTTTAGTTGTTTTATTTTTAAAGTTTTTTAAAAATAAACGAAAAAATAATGCACACAATAATGCATAAGAGTAGATTTTTAGAGTTAAAATAATGTGTTAATTAATGAAAAAAAAAACCGAATTAATTTAAAAAATATAAAATAATGGTAAAAAATAGGGATTAAATTAATTATAACAAAATTAATGATTAAAAGGTAAAAACATATCTAGATAAGTACTAACCAAAATAAAAGATACAACACTTTTAGTCTAAAATTACACTGATTAAAAAAAACAAAAATTAAAAAAAAATAATTTCTATTAAATATAATAAAAAATAAAATAAATATTCAGAAAATTAATTAATAAAAAAAATTACAAGCAAAAGTAAATATTAAAATAATTTCAATAAAATAAATTTTATGCAAAAAATATATCTAGATAGCTACTAGCTAACAATACATAATAGAAAATAATAGATTACATTTTAATAGAATTTATAAAATAAAACAAAAGAAATATCTGAAACAAATGAAGAAAAAAAAAAAGAATAAACAGGAAAGAATAAAAAAGCAGAAAAAAAATTAATTCTACCTCCATCATTTTTTATTTTTTCTATTTCACTTTTGAGAATATTGTTTAAAATAAAACAAATTAATTATTCCTAAAATTTATACATTTAAATAATAGTTCGCAGTGGGTAATGTGTAGGATTTCACAAACTTATTAAAAGTGTAGGTGAATTATGCATTTTTAATAGAAAAATTCAGACAATTTTAGAAATAAAATAAAGATGTGTTTCCTCTATATTTAGGTGAAATCTTAATCTGCTACTGTTTATAAAGCTCGTTACGCTTTATTGCATCTTGCCGAAAATAAATTTGCTCTTCCTCTAATAAAAGTTTATGACATTGCGTTCAATCAACTCTAACGCCAGTATAAACAAAATTCGGTAATTATATAATTCTTACTTAAACCGTTCTTTATATAATTATTTAATTTTTGTGAAATTTTGTAATTGCCTGATTATTTTAAAAACTACATCAAAATATATACAGGGTGTTTCAAAAGACATGTGCCATCTCTCGTGGGGAGATTTCTCACGTAAAAATAAGATTTATTTTTCTTATCAACATAGGTCCGATTCTGCTTTGTTTCCTAGCTACAGGGTGTTAAAATCTAAGTAATTTTTCTATTTATTATAATTTTCTTCCAAGTATTTTTAATGATTCGAATGAAATTTTGAAGGTAAAAGTTACTATAAATGCGATATATTTTAAAGCTAAAAAAGTGTCGACATATTCACCAGGGAAGTGCGTATGGTTTTTCACTGGAATATTTTTCTAAAAAAAAGCATGTACGCCACTGACTTTTTTCTTTTGTTAGCGAAATAGTGCAAGCAGTTTAATGCCGATTAAAAGCTATCTCTTGATATTTTGTCTGTTTTGGCCTCTTTGATGAGATAAACGCAATTTTATTTATTTGCCTTGATCCAAGTTTAATAGCAACCTTAAAAAAAAAATATCATTAATTTGCGAAAGTTTTAAATAAGTACTCATCAAAAAATATGAAAAAATGTTTCTATAAAGGGGTTATATTTATAAAAGGTTTCTCATGGGTATAGAAATGCATAGATTTAGAGTTGGACAGGATGGACGTTAAAACTTTTTAAAATTAGGTTTTTTGTAATTATCTTAAATACCAATATTTTTTATTTGAAATGGCTGTAGGTTGGACTACTAGTAATAATATTTAATAATAAATTAGGTAAAATATATAATTTATTAATTTTATTTTAATTTTATTAATTGTTTAATAAAACTTCGTTTATTTCATCAAGGAGGCCGAATTCGACAAAATATCAAGAGATAACTTTTAATTGGCATTAAACGGCCTACACAATTTTGATACCAAAAGAAAAAAGTCAGTGGCGCACATGTTTTTTTTAATATTCCAGTGATAACCCATGTGCACGTCCCTGATGAATTTATCGACACTTTTTTTGCATTAAAATATGTAGCACTTATAGTAACGTTTACGCGTTTAAAAATTCCATTCGAATCACTAAAAGCACTTATTAAGACTTTAACGCCCTGTATAGCTATGAAACAAATCAGAATCGGACCTACGTTGATATTAAAAATAAATCTTATTTTTATGTCAGGAATTTCCCCATGAGAGATGGCACATGTTTTCTCAAACACCATGTATAAGTTTGAAAACTCCCAAAAAAAAAGATTCTTTGCTTTTTAATTGATGACGTTATGACAATTTTAAATGCTAAATTTATGAGAAATCTCTTGAAAATTCTATCTAATAAAATACAATTTTAGGGATATAGAGGGTGACTTAAAATAAACAGAAGCACCCGTTAAATAGAATCAACCCTATATCTATGAACGTTATTTAAAATGATTAATTGACTGCAGTGGAAATCTTTTTCAGGAACATTTTATGCCACCCTGTATAAAAATATTATAAATAATGCTTGAAATAATTATTTAAAGAAATAAATTAGTGTATTTATTTTCGTTATGAACTATAAGAAAATTAAATAATTTAATCAATTTAGTTCTGTTATTAGGGTATTACATAAAAATAACAACAATTAAATTCTTGAATCAATCTATCTATAGATCCTTGCGATGCGTTACTCATAAAAAATGGATTCTGGTTCACACTCAATATAGTGGGTTGAGCCAGTCACGTACGCAACTCTTTTATCCGCAATCAAAATTTGTTATTTCCTTAATATTTTTATCACTAAAGGAATTATGTATCACTAGGTCACTAACCAAATTGATCATAAAAACAAACATCAGTTAATGAGAGAACCTATCAAATAATAACATCAAAAACATATCAGTTGAGCCTGTGGTTGAGCTATAAATTTATTTATATTAGAGTTGAATAATTGAAGCACAGCAAAATAATTGTTGGTAATTTAAATAAATTATTTTTGACATGCAAAACATAGTGGTGCAGGACATATCCTAATTATTTCACTGATATAATATGTTATAATCAGAAAAAATTGTTAAAAAAACATTTTTAGAGTTTCCAAGATATAATAGGGTATTATAAAAGACATAGCATCATTTTTTTATAGATTAACATGTGTAAACAAACCAAAATAATGTGTATTTACATTGGGTAGCTCGAAGGACCATACAAATTACACTCATTACCACCCTCTATCGGCTAGCCCTTGCACTAAAAAGCCGATATTCGCCACTTGGATCACTCACCCGAGCCTTAAACTGAAACTGTTCAGGAAAATTCCAGAATATTTGGTTTATTTCACCCACACAAATTGTTTCTGTCTATTCCATTCTAGCACTGTGCACTGGTAAACCGCTTCGCCGGGCAGATCTAATATACACATGTTGTTTCCACCATGTGTCCGCCGTCAGGGATTGCATCCCACGTTGCCAAATCGGAGAGTACATTAAGTTAAGTAAGATCGATACTTAAATTGAATACTGAACGGGGGGAACTCGGCAACGCTGAGAAAATTCAAAAAAGGAGCTTGAATCGATTGGTTTGGTGGTCGCGCCATCTATATTTCGTACGATTGTATAAAGCGGAGTAGAAAACTGTAAATTTTGTTTGGTGATGCATTCATAGATGGCGTAATATACATTGTTTGTTTCTGTTTTCATTGTAGTTTTGTTGAGGGTAACTATTTTTTTATATTCTATTACTAGTTTTATAAAATTGTGGGATACTATTTAATAATTATTTTATGCAAAAATATCAAAAATTAAGAAACAAATAAATTATTATAATTTAATTATCTGAAGAAAAATTACATTTTCTTTTAGGTATATAAAGGTGTTTTTAATGATTGTTTGAATTGTTGTTAATAGATGATGATTATACTACGGTTTTTTGGTTTCCTAGTATAACGGGTGCGTCTTAAAAGTGGGTCACCTCTATAACTTTTATTTTTTCAGATAACAAAACGAGATTTGGTATGTTAGTAGTGTTAGCACATGACTATGGAAGCTGTGTATTTCTCAATTTGTCGGATCACATGCGCCCCTAACGGCGATTTAAATGAAGTTCATTTAGATCTCAAAAAGTGGGCCCATAATTTTTGCGTTCGATTCGCCTCCTCCTTCTAGCCTCCATACACATGACATAAATTAGGATTGATTGACGTATTCAATTGTTTTTGGTCACTTCCTGTTTCACCGGAAATAACTACAACGTTTAAATGACACTCTCGGTATTTTTTTACTATATTCGAGAGAAAATAACACTCTAAATAGAATGGCCGAATGACATATATCATATGTCAACTTTTGACATTTTCGCATATGATTTATTTGAAATTGTAACATGCAGTTCATAACTACAATTTGACTCGAAATACCAAGTGTGTGGTACCAAATTATTCGTAAAAAATGTTTTTTTCAAATGAGCTAATGAGTCCCCCTTGTTCCATTTGAAAATATTGAGATATGATTAAAAGTACGATTTGGGCATGTTTCAACCCGTCAGGACAAGACATGAAAAACGTTAGACAATCAAAACTATTTTTCCAAGGTTCCTTGATTAAAAATTAATGTTTTTAACACAGCCATGGCACTCTAGATTGATATTTAAAATATGATTTTTTTAAGCAAAAATATCAAAAGTTGACATATATGATGTGTCATTCTATTCAGAGTGTAATTTTCTATCGAATAAAGTAAAAATATATTTCTTGAGGGTGCTATTTAAAAATCAAAATTGACATTTCCGGTGAAACAGGAAGTGACAGGAAATGCAAAATTTAATAAAAGAGGTACCTTATAGGAATCAGCCCTATACGATTATTGTTTAAAAAGTACTGTTTGCAGCAATTTGTTTATTCGAAAGACACTTTACTGCCTTTTATCGATTATTTGATACTGTATGATCGAATAAAAAACGAGTCAGGATGGTCAGGATGGAAATTTACTTTTACTACTTAAGTTCGATCTTCATTTCCAAACCAACTCTGACGCCGTTTTTTTGTAACTACTTTGATTTTATTTTTCATTAGATTTAATTTTCATAAACCTCTAAGCACCTACCATTAAAACCCAGACATAGGACAGGAGGAAAAAAAATATGAAAAAAGACGAAGAAAATGAGAAGTGGATGAGCCACAATTATTTCAGTTAGAGGTTTAAAACATAACTGCGTCCCCCATTATTTCTACTTTGTTTGGCGGCAAAGAAAAGAACATTTTAGATTTAATGAGATACGGTTCTTCAAAATTTTTTTCGTTATCTTTTTATATTCGAGCCCTTAATGTGACGGATTACGAGAAAAAAGACCGGGATAATGGCATTTTTTTTCAGAAAAATAAGTAGCTTTTGTGTAGTAATTTCGGATCGGTGCCGGCAGCTTCATAAAAAGTCAAATAATGGAATATGTAAAAAATTCCTTTTAAGTATCTCTTATTTTTACCTTTCTTCTTAATAAGTAATAATTTTTGAAGCTGTCACTACCTAATTGATTTCCAAATTTTATTTTTTTGGATATCTCTTACTCTTAAGGCAGAGATTGACTTATAATAATAAATAACGCTTTATTGAACAAAAAGTCAAAATAGCTTCATCGACAAAGCATTTAAAAAACAAACAAAAGCGCAAAAAATATACAAATAATAAAAAATATCATACAATAGAAATCATATAATTTAAAAATAATTACGTCATTAAAATTACAAATAGAACACACATATGGACATTGCAGAACACAAAAAAAGACGCATCAATAAAATTTTACAATAGGAAAATTGTAAATGGATATAATCATTTAAGGGTTATAAAATATTAAATACTAGATTTTTATTTGTGTGTGAGAATGATCAATATTTTAAAATTCAAAATTGTTCAAGATTAAACATCAACAAAAAAGTCGTTTACCCCGCATATAGGGTTCTCTCCAGTAAGTATGATTCCAGAGCTTTGCGAAATGCGGGAAAGAATGAAAGCGACTTGATATCCAAAGGCAGATAATTGTACATTTTTTTAGCAATGTACAGTATGGAGCCTTTAACTAGTTCTGAGCTCGGGGTTGGCAGATAAATATCGTGCTCCGCATTCCTAAGTGGATAGTTGTGAGGTGGCCTTTCGGGAATAGCAGATATATGCTTGCGGATTAAGCAAACGGATTCAAAAATGCGAATAAAGAAGGAAGAGTCAGTATTTTGAAATTTTTAAAGAAATTCTGGCAGTGAGTTCTACTGTTCAGTTCCAATAAATATCGAACTGCTCTCTTTTGAAGTTTGAAACTACGATCAAATTTTGTCGCGCAGCAAGTACCCTAGAGTGGAAGGGCATAAGGAAGATGCGACTCAAAAAGGGCATAATAGACTATTCTAGAGGTTGATAAGTAAAGTTCCTTAGAAACTGATCTTAGCGCAAAACAGGCAGCGCTTAGTTTCTCTGATAAAGCTTCGACGTGCAAGTCCATTTTAGCGAGTTGTCTAAAACAAGTCTTAAGAATTTCACAGAGTCCATGACGTCAATAGTGGCGTTATTAAGTACAAAAGGTTGTATAGTTCTTTTATATGACAAAACTTTAGTTTTTGACAGGTTGAGGCATAGGAGATTAGAATCGCACCAAGATTTAATCGTGCGTAACTTACTGGATATATAGTATTAAATAGTGCCGTAACCGTAACATCTGGGCCGCTCCAAGTGAAACTAGTATCGTCCGCAAAGAGGCAGATTTTACCGCTAATGTCTAGATTTGCAATGTCGTTGATAAACACCAGAAACAAAATAATAGCCTAGTACTGAATCCTGAGGGACACTACATTCTATAGGCATGCAAGAAGACATAGACGTATCAATCCTCACAAACTGCCTTCTGTTGCCAAGATATGACTTAAGCCATTCGAGCGGCACTCCCCTGAATCCATAGTACTGTAATTTGTTAATTAAGATATTATGATTTACACAGTCGAAAGCCTTAGAGAAGTCACAGAAAATTGTAGCGTATAGTTAGTTTTGACTTAAGAAACGTCAAAAGTTGATGTCGTCCGATTGCGCCCGAATTTGGTGGGTAAGCTAGGGTGCACAGGGTCAAAGTTGGATACGACGCGACGTTTCGTTTACATCTTCGTCAGGGTGGGCCTATGGATTTCATATTGAAGAAAACTGAGGGTCGATTTAGGCATAATTGGGGACGGGCTACAGGATGACGCCCTCGACGTTTCGAACCGATGCCTCTTAATGGACGAAATCATTAGGATTTTTCTTAATTATGGTTCGATTGGAACCAAACTCGGCAGGTGGATAGAGGTACCCGAATGGAGTTCTCAGACAGACAGACAGACTGAAGTAAGAAGAAGTTTCACTTCAAATATCCTTAGGGCACACAATTTTTTTTTAAAATACTAACTCACCTGAATAACCTAGACTCTTCTAAGATTGAAAAAGATTATGTAAACTTCAAATAAATATTTTATTACTGCTTATGCGAAGGCGCGCGAAGCCGAACAGTATTAGATTTATTAGAAAACAAGAAAAAAAAACGAAACATTTTCCATAAATTCTCTACGAATTTCAGTTATGAAAGGAAATTCCCCAAATAACAGAGAACGCATAAAGAAAATGGTAATATTTTCCGATGCTTTTATATTTAAAATTGCTACACCGTTGTAGACAGAAAAATACAAAAGGTAGAAAAATACTCTGAAGGATTGATAATGGATAGATTATTTTGTTATTTCTTTTGGATAAAAACACAAATTTGATTCTATGTACAATGTACAGTGCTAGAGCATTTTAGAAAAAAAAACTTAAGAACCTCGTTATAATATTTAAGATTATCGGTTTTCTTAATATTTTAGGATTAATTTAAATGTGAAATGGAAATAACTTTTACTTTAGTTTCGCTTTTTTCCTTTTAAAATTTTATACTTTTCTGCTTCGAGAGATATAGTCCAGGAGGCAGTGACTTTTTAGCCGACCATATACGGTATGGTAGGCTATTAAGATCGGCAAAGAAAAGTTTTTTTTAATTTAACTCAAAATAAGTTATTTGGGTCATAAATGACCTAAATAAAAAATATTTTCATGGTGTCTGTCTGTCCGTCTGTAACACGATAACTCAAAAACCTCTAACCCGATTTTAACCAAATTTGGCTCAAAAATACTGTGGCACCCGAGAATCTGGCCATTAGTTTTTGGTGGGGGTGGGGGGTTATTAAGGGGGCATGGGAGGGGGTTAAAAATTTAAAAAAATCGTAACTCACAAAATTAGAGTAGCTAGCGAAACGCGGTTTTCAATTTAAGATTAGGAATAATATTTGCAACAAAATTTGTAATAACATCAAAATCAGTCAAAGTCGCAGTATTCTCCCAGTGTAGTGTCCTATCTGTGTCCTATCTGTAGCTCCAAGTATAAAAAACTTGGGAAAACATTGTTTGTTTAAGTGCAGATCTAAGTATGTACTAGAATGT